TACCGCACGCACCTCTCGCCGCGCAGCCGCCGCAACCGCAGCATGCACGACGACGCGCACATGCTCGATGATGCTGGTGCACTCGCCTCGTTCCCTGCTGCCGGCCGCCTGTCGTTCAGCCCCTACGCGCGCCCGCTCGCCCAGAGCCCGCCGTCGCCGCGGCACGCGCATTGGCCGTACTTCTAGGCCAGCGCTGCGGCTGTGCTGCTGGCGACACTCTGCCACTCACCGCTTGGAGCTGCGCCCTGGGCAATAGCCGCACATTCGCGCCATTATCCATCATCCGTTTGCCATTTTTTCTAAACTTAATCCCCTGCTTCGCTCGTTGCGCACGCACGCTCTGCCGGTCGCCAGGCAGCGGCCAGTTAAGCGGTGAACAATGAAAGGGCGCCGATGCAGGGAAGAATCGGCTGCGCCAGGCGATTTCGCCACCGACCCGCGGCGAGAGCGCAGGTAGCGTCAACATCCGCCGCAATGTCGGCGCTCCTTGTGCGCCAGCCTGCGCCAACAGAGTAACACAGCAATGCCACTCAGGCTTGTGTAGGGTGTGGATGCTGCTGCACCGTCTGGCCAGGCACAGCGCGCAATCGGCGATGCCAGCGGTCGCCTGCTTCCGCGCCGGTGCCTGACGACTGGCTAGGAGTGCCGAAAAACGGCAATTTAATCGTGGTTCCATAGTGTAGCTGGTGATCACATCGGATTCTGATTCCGGTGACCCGAGTTCGAATCTCGGTGGGACCTCTCTTTTTCGTGGCCATGGCCGCGCTTTTTTTGGCTCCATGGCTGAGCGGCTCTGGACTGCAATAGAGGGAACTTCGTAAACGCATTTGGTGGGCAAGACGCAACTAGAACAGCGCGGCAACAAGACCAATGGCGGCGCCGGCCAGTGCAGCAGCCTGGCGGGCGGCGAGGGTACTGGCACCGCTGGTCTCGCTATCATCATCGATACCGCTGTCCATGTCGGACTCGCTTTTGTCGCTGGAATCCCTGGAGCTATGGTGCACTGAGCTGTGATGCACTGAGCTGTGGTGTCCCGAGCTGTGGTGCTCCGAAGACTCCGAGTGGGCGCCGGACTCGAACTCTTCGTCAGATTCGGAGCCAGACGCGTCATCGCTACCAGGAGCCGGAAGGACACCACTGCCGTCTCCAGACTTTTGGCAGACGGGCTTGAAGATGGAGCCAAACCCGGTCCGCACGTAGTAGTCCGTGACAAAGCAGCCGTCGGGGGTGGCGTCCCAGATCTTCGTGCCAAGGACGAGTTGGCCGGTGGTCTGGCACACGATCTCAATGTCGTCGCCCAGCTGGTAGACCTTTACGACGTCAGACTCTGTCGTGGGCTGCTTGCGGCAGTTCAGGCTGGCCGAGTTGACGATGTCATAGGCGGCGGCGCAGCCGGCAAGCGCGAGCGCAGCGACAGCAGACTTCATTATACGAGGGAGGGAGGGAGGGGCGAAACGCGTGAGGAGGGGGGCGAGGGCGGCGGCAGACCAAGGAGGGAAGTGGCGAGCAACGTGTGGGTAAGGTAGCCGCGAGACGAAGCAGAGAGGCGAACCAGGCCAGGTGGCGCAGACCGACCGCCGGCCTGCTGCAACACCAAAGACGAGGTGCATGTCTGGTGCATGCTTTGGCCTTTTCTCGCAGCGATGCGATTGGCCCGTGCGCCGGGGGAAATCACCAGCGGGCCGCCGATCGTGCATCACAGCTGCCCGGGCCCGCGCTGGCTGCGGCCGGACCGCCGAGCCGCCGCTCCTCCCTGCATGACGTGTGACGGCGATGGCGGCGCCAAAGCGACGCGGAGCGACGCCCCGCCAGACGAAGGGGCGAAAATCAGCGCGCAGAGTTGTGTTGGCAAAACAAGGTCATGCACCTGTGCCCGGCAGGGATAACTAGCGATCTGCGCAGCTTGGGACAAGAGCGGCTCAGGGTGAGGGGAACTCTGGAACAGGCGCACGCGCTGCTGCTCGGGCTCTGCCGTGTGTCCTATGTGTGTCGATTGAGGGCGGCGTCCTCTTGGGGCGAGCAGGGAGCGGGCAGGGGGACAATGTCGGCCGGGCAGAGTGCAGAGATCTGTGTGGGAGCCGCAACACACAATACACGCAAATGGCGAAGCCCGCCCCCTCGTTGTTTGGAAGGGGGCGGGGTGGCTTGTGATGCTGCTCACAAGCGCGGGCGGGCCGGGATTCTCTGCGCGGCCCACCGTTCGCAGGGGGAGAAAGCATGGTACCGCAGCGCCAGTCCCGACACTGCACCTGGCGCAACAAGCCGGCTGGCCGCTCCGGCCACGCCCGAGCAGAATCAAAGGCGCGCCAGCATAGACAGCAGGGGGGCGGGGAGGCCCAGGGCGCGATATGCAGGGCTATTATGTGGCCTCGCCTAATGGAATCCTACAACGGGCGCTGCCGGTTTGCGTAGGCCGCAGCTTGGCGTCCCGGACCGCTTGTTGGGCGGGATGCGTGGCTGATAGACGGCATCCATTTTTCAAGCTACAAAGGGGCGCTTGCAGCGCGCATGTGCAAAAAGTCCGCGTATCTGGGTCTGTGTCTGGGAAAGAAAAAGTGGCGGGGGGTGGACAAGTCCCCACTATCCCTCGTGTCCCGGAAACGTTCCAGTGGCTGGCTGGATAGCCATGGGGAGGAGCGGCCGAATTGTTTAGCAAAGACCGTACGGGCGTCGCCGGCTGCGGCGCCGGTGACGGGTGCTTTTGGCTGGTCTACTTAAGCAAACAAATGCCCCCCCGCGCCTCTCGGGGTGGCTGTATTTTGGACCCCGTCCTCGCCTGCCTGCCTGCCTTTCGTGTACGTGTTTCTGCCCCTGTTCTGCTTGATCTGATACTATTTAATCACATTCGTCGCTCCGCGCCATACCAGTCGGCCGATGGAGATACACGACGTCGCGAGCCACAGCGTGGCGGCAGACATCGCGAGCGTCAAGGAGAGCATCGTGTCGTCCAGCACATCAACCACGGGCAGCCCGTGCGACAGTGTCGCCGAAAGCAACAACAGCAGGCCCTCCCGTGCACCCAAGCACAGCGTGCACGAGATCGCCGAGCTGGGCGCGGAAGAGGCGTTCGCACGCTCGATTGCGCCGAGCATCACGTCGAGCGGGCAGGGCTTCGCCAAAGACACAATGCCGCGGCTGCAGACGCACATTATTGTGGCCGGGCTGTGCCTGCTGTACTTTATCTCGGCGCTGGACATGACGATTCTGGCGACAGTCTACATCGACATTGCCAACAAGTACCAGAGCCTGCCGAGCGGGATATGGATCATCACCAGCTATCTGCTGGCCAACACGGCGGTGCAGCCGCTGTTTGGCAAGTTCAGCGACGTGCTCGGGCGGATGGAGGCAGTCGGCGTGTCGTGCGTGCTATTCTG